CAACAGTATAGATGTGTAGTGTATTTTGTCCGAGTGGGTTTGCCGTACTTTGACGTCATCTGCAGTCGAAGGACCCCGAGCCGATCTTGCACCCGAGCAGATCTTGTACCGACACCGGGATTTGGCGAATAAAAAGATTACCTGCATTATTTGCTAAGCAGTCCTAGCGTATGATGGCAGCACCTCAGTGATGCATGAACACTTAAAAAGAAAGCACATCGGACAGTTGAATGAAACAGAGTCTGACTCGCCTCGGTAAGATTTAAATAACACGAAAGCCAATACGTTTATATATACGTTTATATATATATGTTTATATGTATTTTCGCTTTTAAAAGAGAGATTTAATGTTATGCCTTACAAAAGTATTTTAATTTTATTTATGCATTTATGTCTATACTGACTGAGCACTGTGCCTAATTGGTTTTAGATAGGGCATTTTTATTTACTTTTAGTATGAATTGGCCTATTAGCATCTTTCTTGTGTTTATGATAATTTTTCACATAATTAAAGCAATCTCATGCTAAATTTAAGAAAAAATTAATAATTATCCAATTAGTCGACAAATCGTTTCAATAGTCGGTGAATAGTCGACTATTAAATAGTCGTTAGTTGAAACCCTAATTGAAATGTAATGTAAATAGTCGATATTCTGAAGTGAAAGTTTAGAAGAAAGCGTGCCGTTGATGGGCTTTTCTCTAACAGAGCAGGAAGTCGTCTTCTTCTGAACTTAGATTTTGTCTTCCAGTGTTTTGGCTGAGCGATTGCTGCAGGATAGTTTCCTCTGACACAAACTTGGAAAATATCTGACAAAAGATGGCTATTAAGGCTGCTCGCCCACCGCTGTAACAGACAGCTGGCCTAGTTGCAATGCCTTGGATGGCGACCTGAGCGGTTTGACGTGAGAATCTACTTTGCTCGTCTTTGCAGAGGAGGTTGTCTACCTCACACTTGCAAATGCAAAAATGATCCAGACTAAAAAGGTAACTGGTGCAATGGTTATATTAGTTTTATTAAACATTTTTGTTCAGTGTTTGTATGTGGTCTAAACTTATTTAACGACAAAGCTAAAATGAGATCTGAAATAAAATAAAGCAATAAAGGCAGTTTGCTTTTCCCATAATAAAACATCAAATCAAACATGAAAAGGATTAGAGAATAATCTAATATTTAGCGCTGTAACGGTGGTTTTAGTTTCCCAGCTGAAGTCACTGGTTGTTTAGTTGGACCATCATTGCGCATTGTTGAGGGTCTGACCTCATGAGGAAATTACTATGCAGTGATTTTCTCCAAAATGACTGTGCTTAAATTGCTCTGGAAAGCAAATAATCACATCAGCGCCAAGAAACTTCATTTCCCATGATGCTTTGCACACGGAAGCATTGGGTGATGTTACCGCCTAGTACCAGAAACACGTTCTGCGCATGTGCGGGAAGCCGTGGAGCTTTTCCCGCGAACTAAGACCATAAATCTTCAGCAGAGACAAAGAAACCTCGTTCTTTTGCCCAGGATACCTGGCGGTAAGGACACGCTTGTCGAACGCTCCGACAACTTGAGCACGCGGAAGCTCTAAGTGCCCAAGTTGAGCCACGAAACCGCTACAAAGCCACTGGAACTCCATCAGGACCTGACTGGGAACGAGCGGAGCTCCATCCAGCTCTCAGAGACGCTGTAAGTTGTCAAACTCAGCACAAAAGAAACTTCGTTCTCTTTGTGTCCAGCCCGTGGAGAAACACTCGTGGAGGTAAACAACGGAGAAAGCATCAAACCGACGGACGACGCCAAACTGCGGAGAAAACACGGAGAACCGTCAAATCAAACAGCTGGCGACGCCTTGCTCTTCTGGTGATCAGAAAACTCATTTTTTTTCTCTCCTTTTCTTCTCCCGTTTCCTCTATAGTCCAGAATAAGCAATAAAACCGCGCTATCGCTTAAAAAGTAGCTTCGTGTTTTCCTCTTTCGCTCCCAATTCGTCCTTCGGGTCATTTTGAATAAATAAACTGCTTAATGATCATTGTTTGGTATCTTTAAATGTTTTCTGCTTGGCCACGTGGTTAAACTAAAAGATATTATTCGTGATTAATCCTTTGTGTTGTTTCAAGATCCTTTGAAATGTTTTGAGTGGATTTAAGGTCAAGTTACTGATGATTCTAAGTGCCTTGGAAGTTAAAGTGCAAGTTGCCACTCACACTTTAGCCAGACAAAGGGGTCAGCCATCTTGCATACAGACTCCATTTTAGAAACACACACACACATACATACACACAAAACACCTTGAACATTATTTTGAATATACATCCTTTTATTATATCACATGGTTATTATTCATTTATGCCACTGTTTATTCATTTGACAAATTGTTAATTAAACGTTATAAAATTCAGATTTTCATCTCCAGTAGCTTTGTTGTGTCGAAGAGAAGTCTCTGCTCCAAGGATTCTACGAACTTCAAGAAAGACTGATAAGAGTTTTGGATTCAATTTTTCCCCGGTTAAAGGGGAATGGTGCCCCGTATATCTAAGAATATCTTAATTAATTAATAAATCAGTAAATATTTACATATTTACAGAATTTATTGAAGAATCCAAAAGTAAGTTGAAGCTTACTAATTGTTCGCTCCTAATAACCCCAACAGCATGTTTACCAAAAACACAAATAAAATCTCTAGTCTCCACCCAGCATCGAGGCTTGAAGAGAGATGACTCTTGAAGAATAAAAAAAGACAGGTGTTGTTCATTCTACGCCTAGAAGACGTGGTGCTGTCCTTGAAAATAATGGTGGTCGTACAAAATACTAGATGTAGTAGTTTTTGTTTTTTTTTTTGTATTCATTTTTGCTTATATCACTTTTACTAAAACTGAAGATTTAGTGATCTAATTTATTTTATTAACCTTAATTTCATGTTATGGAGTTAAGCACGTGTTCAGTAAAACCCAGCCTTGTGAAAATTCTGGAAATTGTTCTTTTGTTCATTGAACTACTGATTAAATTTGTACTAAAGAGGGTATACCGTATTTTCCAGAGTATAAGTCGCTCCGGAGTATAAGTCGCACCAGCCATAAAATGTATAATGAAGAAGAAAAAAACATATATAAGTCGCATTTTGGGGGGAAAGTTTATTATTTTTCTTACAAAATCTGAGACCAAGCATTTCACATCGCAAGACAAGTATTGGTAACAATAACGGAATAAACAATCAGGGCGCAGCAGCACGCCACAGTCTCCAGCAGAGTATGGCGGTGTTTCAAACCCTCCCAGCGGGCGGGGAGAGCTCATTCCTGGGTCGGAGCCGGCCCGCATCGCCCCGCCACAGGCGCAGGTGATGGTGGGGCAGAGGAGCTTATTCCTGGTCCAGATCCGGCCCGCTGAAGCGCGGTATACACAATTTGGTATATAAGTCACTTTGGTATATAAGTGGCAGGACCAGCCAGACTATGAAAAAAGTGCGAATTATAGTCCGGAAAATACGGTACTCATTTATGCTGAGCACTGTACAACTAAAAGGCACACTTGACAGTTTTGCTTGCTTTTAGCACCCCTGGCGTCTATTATTAATTCTCTGCTGTCAAACTGAAAATGAAATTCATCTCCTCGCTGTACGTTCGTCTTTTTAGCATCTTAATCTAATATCTGAAATGTTTCCCCAGCCTTTAATAGTGTCTACAGGAGCAGTTCATCACTAAATGAAACAAATCAGCTGTGTTCATGATCTAAAACATGCAGGAAACGTGCTGGATGCAGAGGTAGGGGTCTGAGTGACATTTCATTAACCCTGTAAAGGGCCATTTCAAAATATGAAAATATTGCATAGTATCCCTTTAAAATAGGTGACCATCTGCTATTTAATTTAAAAACTCTTTGGTCAATAATATATATTTTTTACATTCGTGATAACTTTGCGGTGAGGTCAATTTGTTAGGCCAAAGCAAGACCAAAGAAATAAAATACCAATATGTCGTTTCATTCTAATTTATCTTCATATCCAGATGCTTCAGTAAGAAAATAGCACCATTTATTTTATTTCTCCCCTAATGAGGAGCTGTGTTTAAAACACGCATGGTCTTCTGATGACTTGTTTCCTGCACTTGATCAGTGTGAATGTTATGATCCATTAGAGAAAAATCACAATAAGGTCATTAAAATAACTTTTTTTACATTAAACACAAGAGAAGAATCATTTGCACATAACTAAAAGGACAAACTTCAATAACATCAAGTGAAAACCAAAACCCACAAAAATAAAAGTTGTCCAGGATAATGTCTGAACTGAAGAATACATGTATTTTTCTTTTCCGGTGCATATCTGCATTTTCTGAGGACTCCTGTCATGGACCAGCAAGTCAAGGTTTGGTTTCTATTGCCAATTAAAGCTGTGTGTTCTGCACGCTGCTGTAGCAATAATTAAGATATCTTTTTCCAGCTGTAGCTCATTATAAGTCCAGAGTGAGCAGTGAGGATGGCCAAATGGCTATTGTTGAATTTGGCTTAATTAAAGCAACCAATTATCACACAAGTCGGTTTGCTCCAGAAAGTGTTTGCATTTAACTGGTTAAAAGGGGAGACCACTACTGTTTATTAGTCCGCTAAGTGTGTGTGATTCTGTATGCATAAGCTAGTGAGTGTGTCAGAACCACCGGGGTATAATATCCTTCTGCTTTTGTAAATACAAATTGGTTTGTGATTGCTGTGTGGGGATGTGCATGCGTGCACATAAAATGTCCTTTATGAAACATGGTGATGTAAAGATTTGGGGAAGAAAAAGTATGCAAGTTGTGGCTGATTTGTTGATGTTGTTGATGTTGTTGATGGTGTGTGTGTGTGTGTGTGTGTGTGTGTGTGTGTGTGTGTGTGTGTGTGTGTGTGTGTGTGTGTGTGTGTGTGTGTGTGTGTGTGTGTGTGTGTATGTCTGTCTGTGTGTGTGTGTGTGTGTGTGTGTGTGTGTGTGTGTGTGTGTGTGTGTGTGTGTGTGTGTGTGTGTGTGTGTGTGTGTGTGTCTCACCTGACGTTTGCTTCTGTCTCGGATGCAGCTCGGTGGAATTGTTCTTTGCTCTCCGTGTATCTTTCCAAATTCTAAAGATGACACCAAAAAGAGAAAGAGAAAAAGAGACATAAGAAATAATTTTTAGGTCATTTGATGAATGCATCTGGAAAACGGTTGAACGCCTTCTCGTGGTCAGGGACGAGGTCTTGCCTTCAGTGGACAAGTTTAGGTATTTCTGGGTCTTGTTCACGAATGAGCGTGAAACCGATAGGTGGATTGGTGCTGCAACAGGGATACGGGCGTTGTACCGGTCTGTCTGGGTGAAGAGAACTGAGCCAGAAGGCAAAGCTGTCGTTTTACTGGTCGATCTATGATCCTACCCTCACCTATGGTCACGAGCTCTGGGAGGTGACCGAAAGAACGAGATTGCAGATAAAATCGGCCAAAATTAGTTTTCCCCACAGGGTGGCTGGGCTCTTCCTTACAGATAAGGTGAGAAGCTCGGTCATCCGGGAGGGGCTCGGAGTAGATCTGCTGCTCCTCCACATCAAGAGGAGCCAGTTGAGGTGGCTCGGGCATCTGGTCAGGATGCCTCATGGATGCCTTCCTGGTGAGGTTTTTCAGGCACATCCAACCAGGAGAAGACCCAAAGGAAGGCCCAGGACTCACTGGAGGGACTGTGTTTCTCGGCCCGATGTTTGCAAGGGCATTAAAACACAAACACGCACAAATCATGCAATCACCAGAACTTTTTCAGAATTGGTTCAAATAATTAACGACCAAGATTCAAAGCAACAACTCGCGTTTCCAGAGTTCATTTGAACTTAACAGCCTTTTCAATCTTATACTGACAGTGTGTATTTTTCCTGGTGATAGGGGGCAGTAGATACCTAAATCGTTGCAAGCAAGCAGTATTTTTGTGTTGGAGTAAGTCTTTAACAATGGATGCCCATTAGGGTCAAAAAGCCCTGGAGAGTACAAACTTTAGCTAAATAACAAGCACATCAGACTGCCTTTCATCACTGGCAACAAGTGGAGGTAAATGTGTAAAACAATATTTAGGAATGGCAAAAGTTTTGTAACCGTTTGTTACAAATCAGTAAATGCATTTTGTCCTCATGGGCTCCTGTAGAAGGAAACATGGCCTCTAATATGGCTTCGCCCAGAGACTTAGACTTGCTCCCATCTATTTTAGACCTGATTTTTATGGTTATATGTCGCTAAGCTGCAAATATTTTTCAACAACTGGGCATCATTTCAGTCATTTTCAACAAGCTTTTGTTGGATATTTCCAGAAATGAAAAGTAAAAACTACAAATCGTCTCTTTAACGTAAAAAATACCATGACGCTGAGGAGTTGCACAGTAAATCCATTTTGAGGACGGTTTTATAATTTTAGCCTCCCCTCTACAAAACTAAACCCTAGCAGCGATGAGCTGCATTACTCTTACATTGTTTAGGAAGTCAAGACTTCTCCCCTTGCAGCCTGGCTGGTGAGGACTAAGACTTGTGCACGCAGGCAGTGATATGATAAAACAAGCAGCTAATCCACAACAACTGCAGCCTCTCCTCCATCAATCCTCTGAGCTTAGGCCCTGCAGCATTTAGTATTCCCCAAATATTTACTCAACAAACTGTACCAGCTTGGGGGGAAGGCATGGGAGGAAGGGAAGCTGCAAAAGTGAAAACAGACAGAAAAAAAAGGATAAGAAGCTAAAGTAATGAAGGTGAGAGGAAGCATGATCAAGCAGGAAAGCATTGCTTTGACGGGAAATCTGTATGTGTTTCAATCAGCTGAGCTCGTTCTCTTTGTTTTGAGTGAAACCATAAAATAAAAAAAACATGTCTTTTAAGCTTAAGGTTTACTGTTATGCATGTGTCAGTGAAGGTACAGGTGCTGCGCTTTGTCAACCTTCTGACACATTTCGTACAGAAATGCTGAACGTGTGTTACTATTTTCTGTCAAGCAGTGGGCATTTTCAGCGCTACTTAAGAAATTCCAAACCATGGTTTGTCATCAACTAAGGCCCTGTCCACATGTAGCCGGGGATCTGCCAAAACGTAGATATTTTTCTACGTTTTGGCCTGTCATCCACACGAAAACGTGAGTTTTTTCACACGAAAACGGATCTTTTTAAAAACTCCGGCCAAAGTGAAGATCTGCGTTTTCTCCGTTTTGGGTGTCTGCGTGTGGACAGACAAAACCGGAGTTTTAAGGTCCGCAACGTCACTTTCCGCGACAAAAAAATGCTGACACCATGTGTGCAACCTGTGTTTACACTAGCCAACAGCATGGATGCCCTCAGAGCTGTGCTCTGTCACTACCCGATCTATCAATTGTCCAAGCGCTTTCTGCTTGTTTTTGCAAGCGTGGAATTACTGCTCCTTGCGGAAGACCACAGACGAAGGACGAGGTTAAGAACGGGGGAAGTACTGCCACCTACAGGTCTGGCATGTCCTTAACAACGTATTTATCCGGGTACGTGTGGACAGAGTTTGTTTTTAAAACGCGGTGGTGTGGATGCACGTTTTTGGAGGGGCGGATATTCGTTTTTAAAAAACCCCGGCTACGTGTGGACTAGGCCTAAATTAGACATGTCCTTAATCACACATTTGCAAGTGAATGCATCTGGCGGCTCCAAGGGGTAACATCATTTCATCATGTACTTCACATGTGCAGGTGCGACAGTCATTTCAAGGGAGAAACCTTTCGCTGCTAGACTCAAAAATCATGCCGATCATCACCTGTAACTCACACAGGTACATGCGATGCTTCCACAAGTTTCAAAATAAAGTCATAAATCAGGGAAGTCCTGATTAAGAGTTTTGTGTCACAATTAAAGATGAAGTATCTGCCAGCTGTTGTTTTCTTATTTACAAAGATAACTACTTTAATACACGACTATTTAAACAGCACCTTTTTCTAACAGTAGGTCTGGTTGAAATCAGTCTCCACCCATGGTGTTACTCACTCGTTAAAGCTACTATCCGGAGTATTTTTTAATCCGACTGCACCATCTAGTGGCTGACAAATATATTGCACCGTAAGCCGCGGGTTCCACCTCCGCGTTTAAGACCGAAAGCATTTAAAAGACTTACTTGTTTATGAGAAAGGTCACCAACTCTGAATCAGCCTAGGCACGTCCTCAAACGCTCGTGCACGCTTTGAGAGTGACGGCTGTACTTAAGTGGTTGTCTTATGCTATTGGCTAATGCTGAATGACTCTCAGTCCGTGTCAGCAGGGAGTGGGAGGGGAGCGTGGACGCTTGGCCCGGTGGCCCGCCAGGCTTCTAGAGCGCCGGGCTAGCTCTACTCCGACCAACTCAAACAAAAAAGCTGACTCAGCGTGTCTGGTAACAAAATGGTAGTTTCTGATCCCTACAGCAGGAAAAAACAGCCCTCTGTGATCACTGCTATTAGATTATATTAATGGTATATTATTTTATGTGTGTCCGCCTTACCTTTGTCTTCCTTTGACCTGATCTTAACCTGATTACCTTGATTCTGTGGCTTTTTATGAAAAGATAGGAGAATATTTATCCAGAGAAAGAATGTTTTTTCTTGTTCACTTGGTGTAAAGTGTAAGTACTCTCATCATCTAGAGATATCAGCATATTTGTCTAAATAATGTACACAGCTAAACCCGAGTCTCTGTGCATCAACTCCAACTACTAAGCAACCTGCAGCCTCCTAATTGTCTCTTAGATTTTTACTGCTGCTCGTTATCTTCACTCACCCTGTAGACCTGTTTTACTCTCGCCGTTCCTATTGTGTGTCTTTGAGAAACAGGATATTTGCTGGATCAGCTTAAAAAATGCAAAGGGAAAACAAAAGATGCGAAAAGGCTCCAGCAGTTGTACGTTCCTTTCAGACATTAATAGCCGAGCAAATTTCCCCACTGATTATGATTGCAATCAACGATTTCCATCAGTTGTCCACAAATGTTTTCAGTTTACCTACACAAACATGAGTCCATCTATGAAATGTGATACATGAAGAATCAGCTGGATGCTCCAAAGCAATTAGACCTATTAGTCGCTCTTGATTATTTTATCGGCTCATTCCAGGAGACTAAATCTAGCCATAAATAATAAAAGTCAGGATGTTCAACCCTTCGCAAAACCTACAAATGGTCAGAGCAAAAACCTAACAGGGTTTTCTTCCTAAATATGAGCATGTTAACAACATAAATAAACACAGAAAATGCAAAAACACAAGTTTCTTTTTTCTAAATACCACAGAATGGCATCTTTAAGGTGAAAAAAGATGAGTCCATCGTTTCCCATTCAAAAGCACACGTAGATCCACCTGTACAAGGACCTGTTTTTTAACCCGCACCCACTCGCTTCATCCAAGCGTGACCTGACTGTGGCAACAACATTCACTAAGCAACACAAGGTGTTTTCTCTTTTGACCCTGACTTGTGTGTGGGCCCAGATAAGTGCACGCTGGACTTTCTTTCCCTACGTGCCATACATTAAGCTTGCACTGTGCGTTCAAATCTTCATTTAAAAAAAAACATGCACAGGTTTCAGGTAGAAGAACACCCTGTTGCATTACTGTGGTATTTGGTATACCTTACATAGGTCCAAGACTCCCAACACTGCCCACATGCATTTACAATACAAAGCCTGAGTCATGCGTCTGCACCAGAGCGGAGACACGCAACGCCATTATCCGTCGTTGCGGGCCTGCTGGAGAGCGCCCGCAAGGACGGACGGAGTCGAGCTCTCTTTTCTAAACATCTGTCCGTCGAGATGGAGGACGCAAGCTTGTGATTGGTCAGGGCGCCGCTGTCGTCTACACCGCCACCATTGCGCCCTCAAAAACATAAAGAGCCGAGGATACCTAGCGGCAGACACGGAGAAGCTTGAAGAATACCTCGTGAATAAACTCTAAAAATATGAACATTTAATTCCTCGTGACTGGAGGAGTGAAAACATGCGCAGCAAGCGTTTTATTTGTGGACGGAAATGACAGGAAACGTGGGTTTAGAGGTGGCGAGCGCATGAAGAGGTGGAGGAGGATGAAAGACAAATTTGTCCGTGTTAAAAATCAAATCAAATCAAATCAACTTTATTTATAGAG